CTTGAGCGATGACGAGGGTGACAATGCTGAAAAAACTTTAAGCAAAGAGGTGACTGGAAAGCAGCCAAAACAGGCTAACCCGAAGAAGAAAACATCCAGCCGTCCGATACCCAAAATCAGGAAGTCATCCAGGTATGAGTCATCTTGCAATTTTCTCCTGTATTGTCAAACACTCCATCAAGATATCGTTGATGGCATATCTTGAATCTGCAGGAAGCCATCTGACATTGCTCTATCTGGAAAAGACCCTGAATCAACTGACAAGGAGACTGGATCTACGACCACCAAAGAAACCGGGCCGACTGACGAAAATCACCCGACTGGTGATCAGCCGGCGACCGACAATGTAAAGACTGGGGATGAACCCCCGACTGGAAACCAGTCGGCTGAAGCTGAGGCCGATGCTAATCAGGAGCCCCCGACTAGAGACCAGTCGGGTATGGAACATAATAAGGATATCCCGGAAACAGATGCACAAGCAAGCAGCCCTCCCCCAAAAGATACCGACACCGGCCCGAAATCCAGTTCATCTGATAAGGTGCAAGAGCCTGCTCGTCCTCCACCGAAGATTATAGCATGTAATCAATTCTCTGAATTCATTTACATTTGAAAAATTCTCTTCGATTGCTTTACCACCATCTATGCATATGTAAAGGCCCAATGATTGGTGACGAAGAAGAAGTTCTTCGGATTCAATCAGCTGAAGATTCTCGCCCACCCATCTTAGTTATATGGTGAGATGATGAAATGCAGCCACAAGGGATCGTAATAAATAAGCAGAAAGAAGACGAGGAAGTGTCTCTGCTTGCAAAAACACTCAATCAAGCCACCCGTTTTGTAAATGTATGTTTCCTGCATATAGCTTTACCTATCCTGTCGGCCACTCCGCTGAACTGAATAAATTTGTGATGCAGAGAATCCATCTTCGGAACGAAGCAAAAACAACAACCCTTGAGAAACTGGTCCCTCATCTCGGGACTCTAGAAGCAACTAGAACCCAACTCCATGAAACCAGGGAGCTAGCCAGAAAGACAGAACATGATCTCAGGGATCGAATTGCTGAGCTTCAAGATTCCAATTTCGAGCTGAGTGGTTCATCCAAAGGTATTCCCTATCCTTGATTAACTTACTCCAAGCCGCCATCCGCATTCAATTAACCACTAGGATGTATCACAGTACAAGCTGCCAAGATCACCGAGCTAGAAAAGCGAATCAAAGCTCTGGAAAAAGACAAGGGTGAACTAACCAAGCGAAGAGACTCAGCTCTCAAGGACGTTGAAGGTATTTGTAGTTAGAACTCTAGAACTATTCTTGTCTTCGTGCCCAGACATTGATTTGAACCTTTTATGCAGATCGCAAAATTAAATCTCAGGCTCAATTCGAAGTCTTGGTCAACAAGATTAAGAAGCTAGAAGGAGCTAGGGATGAAGGCACAAATGCCGCTACACCACTCATCCAAGCTATGTTTTTTAATAACAATGGTCCGAGTACATTCGACGTTGTTGAAATCTTTGACAAGCTGAGAACTACTCCGGATACATACTTTAAGAACATCAAAGAAGCTGGATGCATGGGAGCGAGCATGGCATTGGCGATGACCAAGTCCTTGTATCCGAAGATCGATATTGACGCCATCGACTGCTTTGCGGATGGGACAAGTGAAGAAGATGCCCTTGACCTCATCAACAATGCACAGAAGGCTGCCGACAAGATTGCTGCTGATGTTGTTGAGAGATTTCAAGACAACAATCTTGGTCCGACTGGGTCTGATGAATCTGACGATGAGAAAACTGAATCTAATTGATGATGTAATCTTTGATGCTGGAGGCTCAATTTGTACAATACTGATGTATTTATGCTGTGCTTGATAATCTAGACTTAGCGTTCGATTTCTTAAAAGTTCTCGTCAGACCTTGTTGAGCCTAGAACCCGCAAAAGTCCTTAAAAAACTTTCAATCCTCATTAGCTAAGCCAAAAAATCAGACAGGGCAATGATAAATTAAGTAAGCAAATTGAATTGATAAAAATCACACTCCATTATTATTATAATAGCCCCCGACTGGTAACTTCAAGAGATAATTTGATGTTGGCAGTCAAAAAGGAAAAGAATATACATGAGTAATGCCTAAGCATAAAAACAACGAAGATACTCAATATTTCAAGAGTTGTCGACGTGAGTACCGTCTTCGCGCTTGAGTCGATAAGAACATGGCCGAGTAACCTCAGAAATTATGAACGGTCCCTCCCATAGAGGAGATAACTTGTGCCGATCTCGTGTAGATTGAATCTTCCTCAAAACCATGTCTCCGACCAAGAATGCCTGCGATCGAACATTGCGGTTGTGATAGCGCCGCAACCCTTGTAAATACCGGGCCGACTGAATCAAGGCTGCCTCGCGAGCTTCCTCCAGTCGGTTAAGATCATCAACTCGGTCTTCTCCGTAGCGCTCCTTGAAGTTGCGAAATCGCAAAGATTCGAATTCTACCTCACTCGGCAACATTGCTTCCGCGCCATAAACCAGAAAAAACGGTGATTGCCCTGTAGCCCGACTGGGTGTAGTGCGCAGAGACCAAAGTATAGATGGCAGTTGATCAACCCACTTGCCGGCGTAGGGACGTAGTCGGTCAAAGACTTGTGCTTTGATGCCTTGAAGTACCATACCATTGGCGCGTTCAATTTGTCCATTGCTCATAGGATGCGCTACGGAGGCATAGTAAATTTTGATGCCAAAGTCTTCATAAAAATCTTTAAACACACCATTAGTGAATTGAGTACCATTATCAGTGATAATTCGATTGGGTACCCCGAACCAGTGCACGATGTTGATGAAGAAATCTCTAGCCTTGTCCGCTGTGATTGTGATGATTGGTTTGGCTTCAATCCACTTGGAAAACTTGTCCACAGCTACAAAAAGATGAGTGAAACCACCGGTAGCCTTTTTGAAAGGGCCAACCATATTGAGCCCCCAAACCGCGAACGGTCAGGACAATGGGATAGTTTGCAACTCCTGAGTTGGTAGATGAATTTGTCTGGCAAAAAATTGACAACCTTCGCATGTTCGCACAATTTTGCCGGCGTCGGATACTGCGGTGGGCCAGAAAAAACCCTGCGATAAGCCTTGCCAACAATGGTTCGTGCGCCAGCGTGATTTCCACAAATGCCCGAGTGGATATCTTTTAGCAATTGCCTTCCCTCCTCCAAAGAAACACAGCGTTGCAGAATTCCTGATGGGCTCTTCTCATACAGCTCGGTCTTATGCATGACATAAAGCTTGCTGCGCCTGGAAATTCGCTCGGCTTCGTCTTTATCTTGAGGGAGTGCTTGCTTTGTTAAAAACTTGATGAAGGGCTCTCTCCAGTCGGTGTCGATCATGCTTACTTTTTGAATGTCTACCGCCTCGGTTATTTCTTTTCTTGGTACGGTTGGTTCATAAAGATGCTCAACAAACACATCACAAGGAGCTGTTTCTCGTTTCGAACCAAAATTGGCCAACCTGTCGGCCGCTTCATTATCATGCCGGAGAACATGGGTTAACTCCAGGCCATCGAATTTATCTTCCAACTTGCGTACCTCCTGTCGATAAGCAGCCGTATTGTCATCGAGGCAGGACCATTCTTTCATGACTTGATTAACGACCAACTGAGAATCTCCATGTACTATCAGACGCCGAATCCCTAAGGATTCCGCGATCCTTAATCCATGAAGAAGTGCCTCATATTCTGCCACATTGTGAGATGCAGAAAAATGTATCCACAGTACGTAGCTTAACCTTTCTCCAGTTGGGGAAATCAGTACAACCCCTGCTCCAGTGCCTGAAAGCCTCTTTGACCCGTCAAAGTGCATGGTTCAGTATTCCATCTTTTCCTTAGGCGTGTCTTCTTGGCACTCGGTCCACTCGGCGACAAAATCTGCCAAGGCCTGGGACTTGATTGAGGTGCGTGGCTTGAAGGATAGATCCAAAGACATCAACTCTAGGGCCCACTTTGCTATCCGTCCATTTGCCTCACGATTACGAAGTATATCTCCGAGTGGAAATGACGTGACCACCGTGACCGAGTGACCTTGAAAATAGTGGGATAATTTCCCGATGGTAATTAAAACACCATATAACAACTTTTGTACCTGGGGATATCTTTTCTTGGAGTCGGCCAAAACCTCGCTAACGAAGTAAATTGGTCGTTGGACTTTTTGAACATGGCCATCTTCTTCCCGCTCGACAACCAGGACTGTGCTCACAACTTGAGATGTTACCGACACATATAATAGCAGTGGTTCTTGCGGATGTGGTGAAGCCAGGACTGGTGGAGTTGTGAGAAGTTTCTTGAAGTCTTCAAAGGCTTTCTAGGCTTCGGGTCCCAACTGGAAATTGTTGGTTTTCTTCAGCAACTTGAAAAAGGGCATCCCCGCTCGCCGAGTCGTGAAACGATCCGGCTGAGTGCCGCCATGCATCCAGTCAGCTTTTGGACATCTTTCTGGGAACTCGGCGGTTTCATGTTGAGGATGGCATTGATTTTCTCCAGGTTGGCTTGTATACCCCTACGGGACACCATAAAGCCAAGCAGCTTCCCTGACGGTACTCCGAAGGTGCATTTCTCAGGATTCAACTTCATCCTGAATGCGCGGATGCTGGCAAAGGTCTCTTCTAGATCTGCAATCAAATCATCCTTCTACTTGGTCTTGATAACGACGTCGTCGACATAGGCTTCAACATTGCGGCCAATCTAAGTTGAAAAACACCTCTGGATCATGCATTGATAAGTTGCTCCAACGTTCTTCAATCCGAAGGGCATAGTGATGTAGCAGTAAGCCCCAAAAGGCGTAATGAATGAGGTCTTCAAGCAGTCGGACTCTTTTAAGCTGATCTGATGATAACCCGAGTAGCAATCCAAAAAGCTGAGTAACTCGCAGCCGGCCATTGAGTCAACTACCTGGTCAATGCGAGGTAACCCAAAGGGATCCTTAGGACAAGATTTATTGAGGTCGGTGTAGTCAACACACATACGCCATTGTCCTGTTTTCTTCCGAACCAGAACTGGGTTTGCCAGCCAGTCGGGATGTAGGACTTCCTTAATGAACCCGGCTGCTAACAGCTTGGTTAATTCCTCCTTGATTGCGTCTTTTCTATCTTGTGCGAAACGGTGGAGTCGTTGCTTAACAGGTTTAGCGCCTTCCTTAACATGTAAAGAGTGCTCAATCACCTCTCTAGGAATACCAGGCATATCAGATGGTTTCCATGCAAAAATATCTTTATTAGCTTGAAGAAAGGTGATGAGCACGCTTTCCTATTTACAATCTAACTCGGCACCTATTACAGCAGTTTTAGTAGGATCAGAAGGGTCAAGGGGAATTTTCTTGGTCTTGGCGTCGCTTTCTCTGTTCTTTGATATCTTGGGTGCAGGCACTTCTCCTTCGGTTGTCGTTGATGCAGCCAGTCGGATCTCCTCTCGAGCAAGTGTGATCTCACGTGTCTGGGCCATCTCGCAGCTTTCCTTATCGCAGGTGACGGCTTGCTTGATGTTGCTCCGCAAAGATATGACTCCTCGAGGTCCTGGCATCTTCATCATCATGTAGGTGTAATGTGGGACGGCCATGAACTTGGCTAACGCCGGGTGTCCGAGTATAGCGTGATACGCTGTCTCGAAATCAACAACTTCGAAGCAAATGTTCTCTGTGCGAAAGTTCTCCCGAATGCCGAAGGTGACCGGCAAAGTGATCTGGCCGAGTAGAAGATAGCCCGGGGATGACTCCATGAAAGGACGCACTACTCGGCTTCAGCTCAGTCCGAGGGATCCGCATGTCATCCAGAGTCTTGGCAAAAAGGATATTGAGTGCACTGCCACCATCAATGAGGGATCGTCGGAGTTTGACGTTGTGAACCACTGGGTCTAGTACCAGGGGGTACCGCCCCGGGTGGACCACTCGGTCAGGATGATCCGAGCAGTCAAACTTGATTGTTGTCTCCGACCACCGAAGATATTGGGGTGTATCGGGCTGGACGGCGTTGATCTCCCGTTCAGTCAGCTTTTGCTTGCTCTTGGACTCATATGCCATGGGGCCACCAAAAATGTGATTGAGTTCCTTTCGAGGATCTTGAAAGCCAATCGGTGCATCGTCTTCTTCATCTTTCTTTTTTGACGAGCTCTGTTCTCCATCAGTTGGCTTCCGCGCTTTCTTGGTATATTGTTCTGCGAACTGTTTATAAACGAAGCAATCTTTGGCCGCATGGTTTGAGTTCGGATGATGTGAGCATTGGGCATTCATAATCTTGTCAAAGGTATTGACACGTGATTGCTGTCGGGAAGATGGTGTAGTAGTTGCCACAAGTTCCTCGGGCTTACGCTTGCGATCCTTGTGATTGGCACTTCCACTCCCTCCTGTAGTTGGCGCATCTTTCTTTTGTTTCCAGGTACTGCCCGACTGCTTAGATGCAGTGACATCGTCTTCTGCTTTGGCGTATTCGTTGGCCTTTTCGAACATCTGCTTGACTGTCCTGGGAGGCTTGCGTCCAAACTTGCCGACTAAAAGTTCATGACGAATACCTTTAGTGAAGGCGGCAATGATAACGTCGTCGGTAATGTCAGAGATCTTGTTGCGTTGTTCAGAAAAACGTCGGATATAATCTCGAAGGGATTCTCCAGGCTTCTAGATGACGTTGTAGAGGTCAACTGGGTGCCAGGGCGTTCAAAAGTGCCCTGGAAGTTGGCGATGAAGTGCTCGCGAAGCTCTGCCCAAGATCCAATCGTGCCACGGGGTAACCCGTGAAGCCAGGACCGGGCAGAGTCCACTAAGGCCACGGGCAGATAATTAGCCATGGCTTTGCTATCTCCTTCTGCTGCACGAATTGCGAGACCGTAGACGGTGAGCCAAGACTCAGGATTTGTTGTGCCGTCGTACTTCTCGATTCCAGTCGGCTTGAAGCCGGCTGGCCAATCCACTCGACGCAGGTCGCTTGTGAAGGCGGCAACTCCATCCACATCGTCGTCGTAACGATCTGGTGAATGGTGGGGAATATAGCCTCTTTCCGCGTGACGCCGATTGATAGTATCGCGAAGATCGACGGGACGCCTGCGACGCGAAGAGCGGGGCTGTTCAGCCCTGCGCTCCCTATGCCTATCGACAGGTGAGTGAACAGATCGTTCACCATGATCCCTGCTCCTACGATTGGATCCTACGGCGGCAACGCTGAGGCTTGGTTGATGATAATCTTGAAATCGAAGAGATGGAACTCGGCTGCCAGTCGGCGTACGGATGCTTGAGGAGTTAATTGGGACCGAGGAGGCGATCATGGGCTTGGTTTGGTTTAAGATGTTGACGACGTGGTTGGGTGCATCTTCCTGAAGCAGAGTGTCCAGGAGGGTGATTGCCGCTACCGCGTTCTATTGCAGGGTGCGAAAAACCGCTGTCCCCTCAACATCTTGCTGTCCAATAAGTTCTCGTGCTCGTCGCCCGACCTCCAAGGCTCGCTGTTGCCGGTCCTCAGCCTCCTTCGCAGCCTGTTCGCGTTCCTGTTGCTCACGCTGCAGCCGGTCTCGCTCTTGTGCTAGTCGCTCCTCCTCCAGTCGGCGACGCTCAGCTTCTTGTCATGTGCGTTGTTCTTCTGCTTCTCGGGCTTGGCGCTGTTATGCCGTCTCGTTATTAGCCATGAAAACGCCAAAGAAGAGAGGCATGTAGTTGTCTTCGTAGCCTTCGTCGAAGTCGTCGAGGTTGCTGTAGTCGTAGTGGTAGCCGAAGTTGTCGTACTCGAGGATCTCCGTCGGTCGAGAGTCGACACCGGGGAAGCTGAGGTAGCCGTCCAATTCTTCCGTCGAAACTGTCCCGAGAGGCTGGAGTATGACGCCGACTTCCCTGGAGCTAGATTGGATTGGAGCAGAGACCAGATCCCGTCTAGACCTACGGGGAGGAGACATCCTTGTGGTAAAAATAGCAGCCAAGTCATCGGGGAGCTTCATCAGGATTGAAGGATAGGCCCCATCGTCTTGATCAGGTCGTGTCGAAGTAGATTGGATCTCTTCCGAGTAGTTTGAAGCCGACTCAGATGAGATGATCTTGGAGTAGATCTCGGCCGAGTTTGGGAGACCGAACGGGGCAGAGGCCTGACCTCTCCCTGACTGGTTCGGATCCGAGTCAAGGAGAGAAATATTGCCAAAGTCGTTAGTGATGAAGTCGAGGCTGCCGAACTGGAACGCCTGCCCGGGAGGGAAGACGAAGTCGTCGATGCCGGAGACAAAACCCATCGCACTAGTCGGCGAAAAACTTGACGCTACGCCTACCTGGCACGCAACCTGTCGAAACAAAATTTCAGCAATACAAAAAGGGGTAGCTATCAATCTGGAGAAGTGGATGGGTTTAGAGACACAGAATTTTATACAGGTTCAGGCCCTTTCAATGAGAAGTAATACCCTACTCCTGTCCATGGATTGGTCCGTCGAGTGTATTATTGATCGTATGATCTGGGAGAAAAGTTATGCCCCAAGAGGCACCCGGACCCCTCCTTATATAGGGGAAGGAGTCCGTATTACAAGGTACAGCCCATATTCCTAACGGAATAGGCGAGTAAAGATAAAATACAATCGTAAACGACTAAGACTCCGGGTATTTCCTTGATACACAAGTTTGGAATTTAACCCAAGTCTCTTAAAGATATTCTATCTACATACAGTACCCCTATACCCAGTCGGATATATATACCATGTGGGTATAGGGTATCTATAATCTCCACAGCTTGCTTGTCGTGTGTCCTTGTGGCTGCTCCTACTCTAAACGATGTTCGCAGCAAGCTACAGCGTCTCTGAGCCAAGCTGAGCCACCCCTTCCCCTGCTATTGCGTCGCTGAGCCACCACCTGCTCGCGTGTTGACCGAGCAGCACCGCCTACTCCCTCTCTACCGAGCAGCCGCTGCTCACGCCGGCAAGCGCTACCACTTGCGCCGTCGTAGCCTGCTCGTGAGTTGCTCCGGTGCCGCCACCTCCGTCGCATGCATCCACCTGTTTGGGATGGGAGAGGAGGATGGGTTGGATGGCTGGGTGGTGGTAACTGGTAAGTGTTTTTTACAGGGCTACAATGGTCTTTCTACATTTTGTAAACAATTTTTTCTTTACCTTATTCATTTTATTATCTTACAGAATCTGGACCCACCTAATGCCATCTAAAACAGGGGCAAACCGAAGCTTCAATTCAAAAAAAGTAGGGTAAAATCACAAACCCTAAAAAAGAGGGGCAAAATTACAATTGTAACTCAAAGTAAGGACAAGAACACAATTATCCCTAAAACTTTCTAAATACAATTTTTTTATAAAAATACGAACATTTGAATATCGATACTGTGCAGTTCCCATCGATAAAAAAAAGTTAAAAAAAAACTTGTATTCTTAGGAATTTGGGTAAAAATAGCCCAACTAGTAGGGAGGCCCAAAGGTGGGTATATAAGGGCGCGCATGCAGTCGTGGGCCTCCCAAGCATGTAGCTCGTAGCCCCATCCGTTGAAAAAAAAATAAAAGGAAAAAGTAACCAAGGTCCCTTAACTTGTCGTTGAGTTACAAAATCATCCTTGAACTGCAAAACCGGATACAACGTGTCCCCCAACTTACAAAACCAGTGCAAACTAGGTCCCTCAACAGTTTTGACTACGGTTTTAATTGACATGGCAGCTGACTCATGAGCGTGGGACCCACATGGGTCCCACATGTGTAGACCCCCGATTTTGAAAATCGGAAATCCTCTGTGTTTATCCGTACCAATCCCTGGATCAGTAGTTGGTACACACATACATAGTTGGATCACAACATATCACGAATGAATTCAGGCTAAAAGAGTTAAATACTTACATTAGGGCCAGGTAGGCCAACAACTATCAGAGAACAACAGCGGAAGACAAAATAATATAAGGGCCCGGTTAACATGCCACAGGCAGTCGACTGGGGAAACGAGACCTAGAACAAGACCGCACTCCGATCATCTTGTTGGATACGCAAGCGTACCGACAAGGGCTTCTCTTCAACACTCTCCTAAAAAATATATAAATAGCAAGGGTGAGTACCAACCGTACTCAGCAAGCCACCACAGCAACGATGCATATGATATAGGGTATTTCAAGGAATGGCTTCAGGTTCCTTTGCGCAAAGCAAGTTTTGCAAATCTTTTCACAAGCCTAAGACCTAGCATAGATTGATCAAATTTTAATACCAGTGTTCACATTAAACAACGACGGTTCTGTCCACCATCCATTGTGATCCCAAGGATTGCTTCCCCCCCATTGAGTCGTCATGGTTTTCTGAGGACGTCCACCTTCCCTCCTCTCAGGAAGTGGCTCCCACAGCATAAAATCATCATGCAATAACCCATCCCACACAAGTTAAGAATTTAGAGTCTAGCCAAGTGTAATACACGTCCCGGTGCTCAATAACCGCGAACACGGCTATTCGAATAGATTTGGTTTACTCACACTGCGGTGGATGTACACTTTACCAGCACTCCGCGACTGCCCAACACATGAGCCTCATCCCAACACATGAGATGCGTCACGGCAAAGCCTTTTGATAACCTCGCATTGGCAGTACCCGCTCCATGAACTTTACATCCTCATGCACTCTAGGCGTAATACGATTTCTAGCAGTGAGAGGAGTTCTGGCGCACCCGGGAAGGGAAGACTCACACATGCATTAAGTTATAATTATGTTTAAATTCTCACATGGCAGTCCTACCAATGGCGACACCACTGTAGACACCCGCCTCGTGGTCCTACCAATGGCTGCCCCACCGTAGAGCCCCTGCCTCACACATCAAGAAACCACTATGCATGGATATTGCCTCCGCTCAGCTATCTACTCCGCTAGGTCTATACCCATACGAGAAGTGCGGTTGTAGGGGGGTCGTTTCATGCTTAACTTCATGGCTCGGTCCTTAATTGACCGGGGACGGCACTAGCCTTTTCCGGACACCACCCAAATCCTCCGTCCGCCCCAGTCGAAAACAGTTGTTTAATTTTATTTCTCCTTTCACAAATCATGTCATCAACATCATGGCAATGTGGCGCTCATGTCTCCACATGCCGCATCTCAATTACCTTCCCAAAGGTAATTGCCCAAGCATATAGCATTTGATAAATATGAGTATGCATGATTCTAGAATAGCATTTCTAAGCAATTGTCATAATTGACAAGGACTCATACGTAATCATGGTTACAAAGATTTTAAGGGTAAACAACAATCAAGGCATGGCATAATCAAGTGGGATGTTCATCATTGCATGCAATTTTATTTGTAAACAAAATAATTTCGCAATTGGGATCAACATGTTCAAAGAATAGTGATGACTTGCCTGCTCAGGATAATCCTTATTCTTGATATAATTCTTGATCAACCTTCACCTCCTAGAAGTTGCAGACGTTGCCTCACGACTAACCGATACACAAGGTCTATAATACGCGAGAAAAACTAATATTCAACAACAATCAAATATGCACAATAAAATGTACTATTCGTGTTTGCTAATGGATTCCAATCATGCCAAGGGCTAAAGTTTCTTAATCTTTCTATTTTCATCGTGGTCTATTTAGGAGTTAACCAACATAGCATTTATGGTATACATATATATTTGGCTAATCGGCGGTTTAGTCTATCAAATGGCTATGGAAGGATTATGGCTATATATGCATCTATCTAAATAGCACGGTTACATACCAGAGGTTCTGTTGTTAGATGGATTTAGTATCAATCAAATAATGAATCATTTGTATTATTATTTAATTGATGGAGGCTTTGCTTTAATTATGAACATATTTTACTTGTCACAATAAATTATAAAAGGTTAATAATTATCCATGCTTTGTATGTTAGAGTTGTTTAGGTTAATCATATTATGGTTACAGATTATCCCATCACATAATTTTACAATGAATAATCCTAATCTACAATTGGACTTGGGTTATATAAGGTCAAGGTCTATAATTAGTATTTATCCACCATACATGTTTGTCATATATCCTCTTTAATTTTAATATGTGCAATCAAGCGATTTAATACTACAACGTATAGCTATAATGGACTGTACAGTATATGTGAGTGCACAATATCTTAATATTGAATCATTTATTTGAATAGCTGCTATTTTCTTAAGCTATATAGTACATGTGATTTTAAGTGGATTTATGAGTGAGTTACTGTCTATACAACTTAAGGGTCGATTTCCAACCTAAACATATACTACTGTATTGGAAATGTCGTTAATTAATTTCATATTGGTGGTTTAATCATACAAGCTCTGCTATTATTTCTCATAAACAAGTTAAAGACTCATCAACATGTGTTTATATTTTAGTCACAAAATATGAGGCTAAACATTATTTATATAGTTTGGACGTTATGGGTATAATTATATATTGACATGACATATATTAATAAATGGCACTAGTATTTCCTATGCTTTAATTAATTTGAAACAATGCTCCTAATTAGTTTACATAGGTTTTACAGTGAAAAAGCGTGTTAAAGACAATTATTTGACATCTACTTTACAGTACAATATCAATTTTATTTATTAGCACATTTTTAACTATTATGCATTATCTTAGTATTAGTTATTTAATAATTATAAATGTATTTTATAAAATAGTGAATTATATACCATTGGAAAGCTTATGAATTTAGATAAATTTAGGTTCAAGTTTCACTCAAATCCGAGTTAAAATGAGAGAGTTATGCTAGTTTAAAGTTTCAAATTTGAATAAATCCGAGAAATTGTAAAAAGGTACTGTTCCTAATCCATTATTTTTATTCCTAAACTTTATCCAAAACTCCAAGTGACTGACATGTGGGGTTTAGGATTGTATTTGCTTTCCTACTGGATTATTTTTCTAAAGCAAATCCTATGAACCATTGACAGGTGGGCCCACTCTAACCTCTCTTCTCTGTTCTCTTTTCTCTCTCTCTTTCTCTGTTTTCCTCTTCTCTCCCTCCAGACCGAGCGGGAGTAGCAGGGGAGACGCAGCGCGCGCGGCAAGGCCGGCCGAGGGCGACCCGACGGTGACCAGGGGAGGGAGCGGCAAGGCTCCGGCGTCCACCTGTCGGCAGTCACTGCGCAGGACGGCGCGAGGGCGAGCGGCGCCGCATGGCCGCCATGGCCGCCATGGCCGGGCACGGGTAGCTAGGTGCTAGGGCGATACGGAGGGTTTTCGACCAAATTGGTGAGGACGTGAGTATCTACGACGTGTGAGGGTTCCATTTTACTAACGAGATGACTACGAGGAGCTCCGGAATGGCTTGTCCACGGCGAGCTCACCGGCGGCAAAACGGTGGCCGGACCGGCACGGCGACGGTTGCTAATTGGTGAAATTAAAGGGGGCTCTAGTTTCTACGGAACTAGGGGAGGCCAGAGGAGCGAGGACTTACCGATAGACGGCGGGACAACGAAGATCGGCTGCAGTGGTGGTGTGGAGAAGAAGGTGCAGCACGCCCACAAGATGTTCGACGAAATGTGTACAAGGAAGAGGCAGAGAGGGATGGGGTTTTATGGGGGCTTGGCCTTGTGATGGCAGCCAAGATGGCGTGGGGAGGAAGGGAGATGGTGGGGATGCTTTTATAGGCAAGCCGGAGAAGATAAGCTTGCCAACCCATTGCCAACCGGGCTAGATGCTGGGCTAGAGGAGGATAGGGCATAGGCGCACATGGCATGGCGCCTTGACAGGACGTTCGCGCGGTGACGGGACGTGGCACGGGGCTCATCGTTGTGAGACGCGACGGACGACGGTGCAGCAGCGGCACATGGCTTGGCGGCGCGGGGCGCGACGAGACGGCGCGCGGCGTGGCAGCGAAGCCGACGCGACGGCGATGGCGACGGCGCGCGGCGCGGCGATGATGACGACGTGACGGCGAAGGCGACGGCACGCACAGAGGGGTGGGGCTCGAGACGATGCGACCGACAACAGCGACGGCGTGCGGCGGAATGGAGACGGCGCGGCGACGGCGACATGACGTGGCGGCGCGGCAGGGTGACGGCGGTGACAAGACGGCGCGCGGCGGCGCGGGGTGCAAGGCAGCGGCGCAGCACACGCAGGGGCGACGCAGGCCTCCAGGCGGAGCGCGGCAGAGGAGGGGTGGTGGTTAGGGAACCAAATCAAACACCTAGAGGGCTAATGAACAGTGCTAGCCAACTATTTTTTTATTTTAGAGGGTATTTTGCAATTAGGAAAAATATACTATTGCCACTAATTTTGTCACAATGTAAAATACACCAATCCTAAGTTACTCCATCGAAATTTGTATTCAAATTTAATATTGAACATATTTTTATTTTTATTATATATTTTCCTAAGTATTCCTATTTTCCTACTTTTAGGGCTTTGGTTGATTTATAAATTGAGAAAAGTTATAAATTAAATTTGTATTACTCCTATGCATTTGGGTGACCATATTAAGTGTCCAAGTGTGAATTTTCCCAAAATTTAATATTGTCCGATATTTAAGATTTATTAAAGATTCTATAATTTCCTAATGAGACCGTTATTAACACAGTAGCATTAGCTCAATTTATTTATATGTTAGTTTATTTGAATGATCATCATTTCATGTGTACTCATATTATGGCACCCACCTACATTATTCAAATATTTTAATATTTGATGAAATAGCTTAATGATAACTTTTCTTTTATTTGATTTTAATATCTTGTGCATAAATATTCGTAGGGTTAAATATATTCTTGTAAATTATATCTATTGCTTAAATGTCGATCTTTTCTTTACTTTCTTTGTGATCATTTACGGTTTGGCAAGCCATAGCAATCATAACAACCAGCATGCTGCAAAAGTTTTAAAAAGTTCGAAATTTTAGTAATTTTTATTGTGAGGAATTTTCAGGATGTTACAACATGTCAACCTCTTCTTCCCCTCCCCTCTCCTCCTACCTTCCTCTCTCTTTTTCTTTTCTCTCACTTTTCTCCTCAGTTGGGCAGGGCACCCGGCGGGTGGGGAGGAGGCCGGTGGGGGAGGAGGGAGTCCGGCGGCCGGCGATGGGCGACGAGGTGGCGGTGGCAACTACAGATTGTTGGTGGATGCCAAATCTGTAGCCATGGACCGCCGCTCGCCGGTGCTGCACGGCCTCCTGCGCCCACCCTCCCACGCCGCCACCGCCAAGGGAGGAGCTGGTCACAGGCGCGCAGCCGTCGGGAGCGGGGCGGAGCGGTGCGCGGCTGGGGGAGCACGGCGACAGGGGAGGGCGGGCGGGAGGCCGTGCGGTCCTCCCACCGCGGAATCCGTCCTCCACACCGCCTCCCGTGACGCCTCCGCCGCGGCGCCCCTCCTCCCAGCGCTCCCGCTCGAAGGCCTCGATGACGTCCTCTCCTTGCTCTCCCCCACCTCGCCGCCGAACCACCTCGTCCTCGGTCCTCCTCACAGCGGTTCTCGCCCTCTCTCCCTCCCCCATTACCGCGACCTCCGCTCACCACCGCGCTCTACTGCGTCCTCGCCATCATCACTCTACTAGGGCCAGCGTTGCCCCCGCCCATCTGCCGTCATGGGGTTCAACGGCGACGACAAGGAAGCGCCAGGACGTCGCCGAGGCCGGCCAGCTCCGCGCCTGCCCCGCCACCGTCGCCATGCTCCTCGCCACGGTCGTCATCGCCTTCTTCACCAACCTCAGCATCCTCTCCAACCTCCCGCACCGGGCGGCGGCTGCATCCAGTTCCTCCCCGCCGCCGCTACCTAGCTCCTTCCCCGGCGGCTGCCGGCCATGCCCCGCTCCTCCCCCGCTGGCCGTCGGCCGTGCCCACCACCTCCCCAGCCGGCCATCGGTCGTGCCCAGCTGCTACCCCGCCGCCCACGCGCGCTGCACCATGCCCAACTGCTCTCCGTCAATGTCGCCCGTGGAAAGTGGATGAGAGGTAGAGAGGTGGAGAGGAGAGGGGAAGAAGAGGCTGATATGTGGGATCCACGTGGGTCCGACGCTGAGTCAGCTGCCACATCGGACAAAACCGGAGTCAAAACTGCCAAGGGACATAATTTACACTGGTTTTGTAAGTTGGGGGATGTGTTGTATCCGGTTTTGCGGTTTAAGGATGATTTTATAATTCGATGACAAGTTAAGGGACCTTCGGTGTACTTTTTCCAAAAAAAAAATAGAAACCACAAAATGAACTACTTAGAAAGGAAATGGGATTTGGGATAAAAAAGGAAAGGGGCCTCGTCACACGAGCGGGGCGCATCTGACTCCGCTCGCGCGGTCGCGTCATAGCCTTTCTGCCTTCTACAATCTAAATCTCTTTCACACACGTGTGTGCTTGTGTCTCCTTCAGACATCTTTATGCAAAAATCCATTTTTTTTAGACGGCCCGCTTAAATTATTTGCACGCAAAAGTAAGGGTTTTTACGCATGCAGTGCTCTTAACTCACCCGCATGCAAAAATACCCCAAAGATTCCCACTCTCATTTTACTGAATCTCCACTCCTCTCTCTCTCCCATAACTCTCTCCCTGCACTCTTTCTCTCTCTCCCCACTACCCCACTCCCCCACTTCTCCCCACTCCGACGGCGACAGTGGCGATTGCGGCGGGACAACGAGGAAGGGTAGAGGAGGCGTGCGACGGCGCAGATCTGATGGCGGCCATCATCTGCTGGCCGTCGCCCACGCGGATCCGACGGCGGCTGCACTCCTCACGTGCGGCAGCCACGGATCTGGCAGTGGTGAGGCATGATGGTGGGAAGGCGCGGCGGCAGATCTGGTGGTGGGGATGTGTTGGTATTTCTTAACGATATTACTAGAAATATTCATTTCCCAGCAATGGCACGGAAATAGTTCTAGTATATTTATGGTTATAGAAGTAATCCGCAAGTGCACGGATATACCACTATTAGCATTTCACCTTGAACTATTCCAAGGTATCGTATTTATTTAATCCCAAGGGAAGATGTGAAAGAGAAAACCATGCTAATAATTATACACATATATATTACTTGCCTTCATCAAAGTCTAAGAAGGGGTTAATTTAATATATGTGTAGAGTGACACGAAGCGAAGCTTTTAGATTCCCTCAAATAAATAATCCTAAGCTAAGTAGAAGAAGAAATAGAAAGAACTCAACTCCTATACTTCTAATATACACCCTGTCACACCCGGAAATTCACTAGTAATTTCTGAACTAATTTGTGCATAAAATCCTCATCCAGAAATCATCCGAGGTACACAAACTGACAATTTAATATACAAATCCATCGTAATAATAACGTTACATACTTACAAAAGAAAAGAAAACAGCAGCGGAATTAACGGTCTAGCGATGGCTTCAGCTCCACTCCCACAGGCAGCTCAACTGGGGTATAAGCCAAACGTCTTCTCCTTCTGGATCCTTTTCTTCAACTGAGGTTGATTGATTATTGCAAGGTGAACATATGACATACTCCGCAAGCCACACAGCAAATATGCAAGTGCACAAGGATACCAAAGGATTGCATAATATAGGCTCATTTGCAAAAGCAGTATTTAGCAAATATTTAAGAATAGTAAAACAGTAGAGTAATCATCAATTTTAATCAACACTGAACAGCACACCCATGCTGCTCAGGCCCAACCATTCTGAACAACCAAACCCGGCTGCACAGATCTAACTCCATACCAGGAGCTAAGCAAATTATTACCAATTATAGCATCAATAATTATTGTGAGAGGTGTGAGACTAATCATGAAAAACATTGCTCAACCCGCCCATAACCGCGGGCACGGCTATTCGAATAGTTTTAATCTGGCCAGAGGTGTACCACTGTACCCACAAGACACAGCCTCAACATCATGTCTTCCATGCGTCGCGATACTGGAAAGTACCCGAATAGAGGCTGTGACAGTACCTTCTGCACAACACAACTCACCACAGTGCACCATTCCTGGATCATAATCACCCCCTCTATAAATATAACCAGAGGCATGGACTCCCCAGCGACCCCCACAGACTTCTCGCCACTTCTCAATCTGGCACCCCGCAATGAATCATGCTATACAAAAGGTAAAGCCGTTACCCACGCTGGCTTCTGGTTGTTACGGTTAATGTCTCACAACGGTAGCTCGCGAACCGGTCCTTAATTGTCATGAACACGACCTTCAAAACCATGTGCTCACAACCCACCATTGACAGGTTTTAATTATCATTTAATTATCATAACACGATTAACCATCGTGAGCTACCATTAAATATAATCATAAATAATAATGTAGTATGATTCATCTCATTAATGAGCTAATGTTTCTAAGCATGGCTAATCAATTACATATGTAGCATTTAGTTGAACCAAACTAATATATAAGGTTCTAGCTAATCAAATTATAACCCATAGGAAAATAAAGTCATCTTCGGCCATTAATTAATTGAGAAAGGCTCACCACCCGATGACATTCAAAAAATAATGCATAAGTTGAAATAAAACATTAGCTTTAAACGGGTTCAACATGCTCAAAGGGTTGTTTGGGATCTATGTGACTTGCCTTGCAATAATCGGTCTTCAATTAGTCTTCTGAATCTCTTCTGACGCACTCACGAACCTTCGCAACGACGAAAACGACAAGCTAACACGCAACACAAAGAAAAAGACTAATAAAAACCAAATAAAAAGTACATAAAAAGTAAACAAACATGTAGATCATGATTTTAGATGAATTTAGCAACTTGAACAACTTAAATCCGAGTTACGATGATTTACTTATGAATTTCCGAAGTTTAATCAGATTTCATCTAATACAGAAAAACTAAAAAAAAGATTTTATGATGTCACGATGACATCATCGCAGCCATGGCACTGGACCACAACTGCGCCGGCGATAGAGAGCTCGGTTGGGCTATCCGAAGACACCAACACGAAGAGGACGACGACGCGAACTCACCGGTGCAAAGAACAACGACGAACGACGACAAACGACGGCCGGCGACGAGATTGAAGCGGCGACGGGCTCGGCTTGACGGCGTCCGCGGCGCTCCGGCGGGCTTCGGCTTCGGCCGAGGGGTGGACGGTGTGCAACTCCTCCTTGCGAACCCGATGGTGTCGACGGCGACCGAAGGCGACGATGGACGGAGACGAGCGGCACGGCTGGAGCGGCTACGACGGCGGCGGCGCTAGGGTGGAGGCGGCTAGGGCGCTACGGGCGACAGCGAGCTCGGCCAAGGGTGGCAAACGAAAGAGGGCGGCTAGGGGATCCTTTATATAGGCATGGATGAGAGAGATCGGGCTTGGAACGCAAGTAA